GGTGTCAAAAACCTTTGATAATTCCAACCGCGATGTCTACCAGCAGCTTCAGGGCTAGTGATGTTTCAAGTGGTAAGATTATGAGCTTTAATAAGTAAAAGTATCCCAGCTACAATGACAGACAACAAATATTACATTTATAGTATTACAACTAAAACCGTTTTTGACGCCGCCACCGCAGTTTGTCCTTCATGAGCCTTCGTAGACAAGATGGCGGTGCAAGATGGCGGCTGCCTGTAGTGGCAACCCACGACCATGGAGATATAAACAGCTTTTTATAAGGTAAAAATAATAAAACAAGGTCTTTGCAATGATTAGGCATGTTTTTTATTATTGTCATTAGTGATTATCTCAATTTCGGCTAAAAAAATTGACAAAATCCTACACACTGTGCCTTTAATATATTATGCTTTATGAGTAGCTGTTATTTACATTTTTTAAAACAGAGTTTACCATAAAAAGAAAAAACAAGCTTTTTTTGCTTTTGTCAACCAAAATTTCCCAAAAGTACCTTTCAGATTGTTGAGTAGAGATATTTGCAGAAATGGATGATGCATTAAAGTAAAACATCACCTGCCATAACGCCAAAATTTGCTCTAAACGTAGGCCATAAAAGCATTTTCTAAAATTTCGTTGAACTATTAAATGACTCTAAAAGCACATAAAAGGAGAAACTCTTTATACAAAGTTTTAATCGAAACTATTTGTTGGATGGTGTTTAGTTCTTCCAGTTTGATGGCAGCTCTTTTAAAAAGACCAGGAAAAAAARTGCTGAGAGAATCAATAAACAATTTGTCCTCTTTTTAATCAAAGTAAATCTTTTTTTTTAAATCTAAGTGCACCTGCCTGACTCACCCCCCGTGTCATCCCTTTTCTCTGTTGTTGTCTTTCGGCAAAGTTTGGTTTGATTCACACCAGTGCTGTTTAGGAGGCGGAATAAATCTTCCCCCTAAGAGGAAGATAATTGGTAGCTTTCATCACCACATTGGAAATAATTATTCCAATCTGTGATGTTTCAATGRCAAGTGTGCTTTAGTGTGTTGGGGTTTGAATGATTTATGAGGCAAAATGAAATGACACGATAATGAGGGTCCTCTTCTGTCGTTTCACCTCGTAGCATCTCTTTGTGTTTGTTGTTTTTTTCTGCAGGGGAATAGAAAGAGTTGTACCTGGCCGGTGTTGATAGGGAAAAAATACTGGATGGTATGGATTTTTTTTTGTGCTCTCTCGCAAATGAAGCGTCTCCCTTTTTATAGAAAGCAGAATGCAGCTTTTTTTTTTAAGATCCTTAACCGTCAAGCAAAGCCATCATAAAGGCATTACAACAGAGAATACCGCAACAGATGGTATGGTACCCCACGGAGCCTTGATCTCAGCATCCTCAAGTTCGTGTGATATTACACAAAGAGTCAGGTTGACATTGCAGCATGTTGCAGGTTTAAGATATGTAATTAAAAATGACTCGTCGATGCAACTTCAATAACGCTTGAGAACTGGGRAAAAGCTAAGAGAGAAACAAAAGAGACGACAAAACACAGGTTGACAAACCTGAGTGGATCTTTTGTTTAAAAAAAAATCCTCATTTTTCATTTTGGATGAATCACAACCAATATTTTTATTTTTCACCAGCGTGTCGCACAATAGGATGGTTTTGGGTGGGGGGTAATGACAGAAAATATAACACTTTACTCCCTTTAGACTGAGCAGATTATTACTTCAACGTTTGCAAAATGAAATATGAACCATATGAACAGGGTTAGGAATGTATTTAGTTGAATTAGCGATAGAAATACATCTATAATTTATTTTTCACTTATTATTGTTA